TAATTTTGAAAAAGCTTACAGAACGCAAATTTTGATAGCTCGTGAATGTTAAGAATCAAAAACAAGATCTTATGATCAATATAGGCATTTGTAAATAAATCTTTTGAAATATTCTCTCTGTTATTGATGAATACAGAATAAAAAAGGAAAAAAAAAGCGTTGAAATGCGTATTATGTATCCTCTGTCTATAACAATACATAAAACTTTATTCATTGCAACATCCATAGATTTACGAAAGCTTTGATCGGGTGATGAAGATGTACGATATGTCTCCCATATAAATGTGAGTGTAGATAAAGAGAAGATTCACATCCGAATTCGATTATTGTTGATCTAGTCAGACTATTTCGAATTCTTTATGTTAAGAACACTGAAAAAAAACTTTAACAACAGACTTGTTTTTCTACTTTGAACAATGTTCGAAATATCTTCGAAGAGTTTCTTTACTTTTGATCACCAACATATAGAGAAAGTAAGCAAGCAAAAAGTATTGATTTATCGAATTTTGTCATTAGAAATAATTTAGAGCACGTGAAAGAGTGATGAATAATAAAAGATTTTCAAACTGATATCTATAGTTTTGTACGAACAAACAACGAGTTTTTTCATTTTAAGATAAAGAGCTTCTTCTTTAAAATAGTCTTCCCGATCAAAACATATTCCGCACTTTCCTCTTTCTATTCCCTTGAATCACCTTTTCTTCCCAGTTTTGTAAAGCATCGAATCAATTTGTCTAATACTTTGAGGATTAATGCTTTTGAACAGAAGTACATGAATTGATAAACAAATAACTTTTAGTTTCGTGATTATTTGAGAAAAATATTCCATAATAATAAAAGATAACCGGAGAATTTACCAAGAAATGAAATAAAATGGAATCTGATATATTGTTTGCTAATTGAAGAAATTTGAGAGTGTAAGTAGTTCGAGTAATTGTTTTGTTCTTATTTTCATGCCATTCATATGCATTCTTGACAATTAGAGCGAAAAACTTAGTCGTTTTTCTTCGTCAGCGATATTCTCTTCATTTTTTTTAGCTCATGTGTTTTCTGTATTTTTCCTTAGAGATGATATTGGAATTTTTCTTAAAGTTAATAACTCATCTCATCTTATTCACTTTTTGATCTTTTTTTACAGTCAATTTCTTGTCATAAGCATTGATCTTAAATACTCTTGAGAAGAAGAATTTAAGCATGAATGCGAAATGTTTTGAGACGTAGTTTTGATTGATAAATATTGAAGTAAACCCCAACTTAAGATTGATCTTATATTAAACTATATGAAGAGTAATGAAATTTCTATATAGTATGTTGTATACATTATAGACTAGAGCTTAAAATCAGCTTTCTTCTGCTATCTGTGGCAACAAAAATATATTTTAGAGGACATCATATTGACTAAGTAATTTATATGAATGATTGAAATAAATGATATGTGAATAATAAACAGTACATTGAGATAATGAAAAAGCTCTGTTTTTCGATTGAAACAATTTATTTCTAGCCGAATTGTGAGTATGTCCCGACAAAACTCGAATTCTAATTTTGTTAAAAGAAAATCGAATCTTAGTTGTATTCGAAATAAATTTAGAATTTAAGCATAACATATACTTAAAGGTAAACATATCAAGCATAATGATTCCTTTCAAAAGTAATTGTCTTACAAGAGAGCATATCTAAATATGAGTCTTTGTTTTAAATTGGTCTTTTATTAGTTTCTAGGACTCAATGAGCTGACTACGCTGGTATGAAGCGTTCTTCATTATACAATGTTTTTGATAAATTAGATCGACCTTCAATACAAAAAAAAACATGTAAGTTGTTGTGTAAGCTTAGTTCTTAGTATGGAGAACTACAACACTGGATGCATCTTAGTTGACAGTACATATCCAAGTAATGAGCATACATACAAATCACACAATCTTTCAAAACTATCTAAGATTCTCTTGACGTTCTACGTTCAAATTGTAGTTATTGAGTCTTGTCAGATGTCTCGCCTTCAATAGTCCGTATTCTATTTGGTTGTTCTCTTTGATGTTTACGTGAACAATGCAGTAAATAAGGCAAATAATTGACATATGACCAAAATATATTTGTTTTATAATCTAAATAGATTTTGAAAAACTAGTTGAATTTTGTACGTCTGTCTGATAAATCAAAATCGAAAGAATGAAAGTATTTACATAACTAGGACTGACTTTTAGGTTGATTACTTGAATATGTGCAGCCAACTAAAACGTATTGACTGTTAAAGTTTTCGTTACTGAAAACCAAACTAATACATAAATTAAAATCTCTGAAATAATAATTTATACTCAATCTTTTCAGAGTTGCGATCGATCTAAATTCTCAAAGACAGCCTATGAGGAAGAACGCTGTATGTTATTGTAATGAGCTCATTGAACAGATATCATAGTTGGAGTGCGAACATTCTATACTTACCAAAGAGTAGATTAGTTTCCAAGACAACTAAAACAAAAGATACTATTTGACGTGCTAAACAAAGAGAATCTATTGATTTAGCTGGTTGAATCATTCTTTCATATGAATGCTCAATACAATTGACATTAAAGAGTTGATCATCATTCTGAAAGTTGACATTGTAAAAACGAAACAGTCTTGTTTAATACTTCATGCAATTCTTCAATTTACTATTTATTGCTTGTAATTAAAATGGCATTCGAAAAAATTTCATGTAAAAAAACAATACAAATTATCTTCTTATCCGTAAATCAAATTTTTATTTTTGAAGAAGCTAGATCTTATCTTTTCTTTGTATCATTACACATCGATGTCGTTTTCGATATTGCGGCCAATAATCAGTTGCTTCATAATGTTGTATTGTGCATTCATTGCATAAACAAACATCAATTTTTCTTTGGTATGTAAATGCTCACCAATAAGCGGATAATTCACTGGCGCATTAATTTCTTTAGCTTTTATGAATTTCTTCATATCGGCATGATCAAGTTTAATTGAATATTGATATGATTGTGCTAATAAATGTTCACCGGTAAGTTTATTGAGAATCTATTTCATTCCATCCAATAATCCTTGTTTATAAACTTCAACCACGCTTTCCCATAGTGTATCTCCACCACCTTGTTTTGGTACGATTTTGCATAAAGCATATCAATAATTGGTAGATCAGTTGAACACGTAACATCCGTATGCCATACATCGGAATCTGGTTTTTTTATCTGGATCAAAATCTAGACCAAATTCTAGAACACCAGCTCCTGGACACTGCCGCATGTGAATAAATTGGATGTACGTATAGATCACCAAATTGCAAGGCAAAATCACGTTGTTGTTCTGATGTTAAACTTTGATAACGAAAGAAGAACTCGTGGTGTTTGTAAAGTACGTTGTCTAACGCATTTTTCTGATTCCAAGTCAACGGTTTTGATAAATCAAAGTTATATGAACTATAGCACCGATAGTAGGTGTTAAGACTTTGATGTTTAATTGTTGACTAGTAGCTATATTGTATTTCAATGATTGTTGTTGTTTTCTTATTTCAAAGGAGCAGGGTGTGTGTGTAGATGTGGATATGAGGGTGCTGGAGAATAAAAGACCCGGACTTATACTCACACCCTCTCACTTATAATTTCATGCATGTTTCAAGCAATGAAATCAGGACAAATCATGATTAGGTTTCACAGACAGGATGTAGGCATGAATATCATGTGTATGAAGAGACCACGCTAAACCATGCCTACGCCCTAACAATGTTAAAAAAACCAGCCTCCAACGAGTATCTTGACGAGCCACCTCTTGCTTTATAACATTCTGATTGCACAAAAACAAAAAGAACAAAGCTTTCTATTTTTTTGTCATTTAAACTGATGCAATCAAGGAATTGCAATAAAGTTTGATGTTTGTCTGACGCTAAGCTTTATCATGAAAGTAATTAAATGTTCTTTCAAGGACAGCATATCGCATCAGTCTACAAATATAATAATCCTATCTTTACTTTGAGTTTTAGCAGTAAAAATGCTCCAAGCCACTTGATTTTATGAGGCTTAATTTGATGTGCTCTCTAGAAGTATATTTGGAGATTGATTTTTTATTCGTACTGTGGTATTCAGAGTTCTTAAGAGACTTACCTTTGTTTGAAATAGTTTTCATTGTAGAATTTATCTTTCATCCTTGGGAATTGCACCAACAGATAGAGTTCGCTGCGCTCGTTCTATACCATATATATTTATATATATATGAAATAGGGGGTATCTAGTTGTGCAGAAATGATACGAGACAGATGTATATGTTCATTATATTTGGATGAACTTGTCTTTTAGTATCGTTACATGCTAACATCAATCAAAGACGAGAGAAAGATAGGAAATGAATAATTAATTAGCTGTACTTAATATGTTTCTGCAATGAAGTTAGCAAAACCATGAACTGAAATGGTGAGCTTGCAGTCTTTGCTTATGTCTTTGTCGAGAAAAAATTACTAAATTATCGAAACTAATAACAGACAGTCGGGCGAATATTGATCAAAACTGTATCAACAAAATAAAATACCTTTCGCGATCAAACCATCAACGTCATTTCGATTACGCTCTTATTAAAACAAGGATAGATTAAAAAGAATTGCCAGTATAAGT